GACGGTTTTCATGTTACTTCACACATGCAGAATCCCCAGTGGCCAAAGATTCCAAGCTGTGCATTCAACTCCGGCCTGTATACAAATATAGCTAAATCTACACCCTGCAATATCATGTACATCTTTGTGAGCTCATTTTCTCTTCTCACACTCACACACTACTCTTGTCTGGGTTGTTAGTTATTTTATAACATTTCTCCCAAATAAGGGCTTTGACGTCTCAGTCTGCTTTCAACTCCAGGGTGGAACTTACTTGATCTTCTCCTTCTCTGGCCATGAAAGCCCACACATATGAATGATTGGCAGCTCCATTAGAAAGACGGAAGAAGAATAAAGTGTGACTGTACTCCAGGCTCTGTCTGCTGCTTTCCACTGCTGGATTCTATAGGAATTTATTACTATTCTCATGTCCATACACAAGCCTCCCAACAACGTGAACTGCTAGACTGAGTTTTAAGGCTTGCATAGTTAGTTTTTTGCAGCCTTCTAAAATTTGAACAAATTATGTGAGATTTAAAAACACACAACATGATTTGTCCACAAAGACACACATTTACAGAAAATGTGTTTACTGAGTTCTCGATTTCTTTCTTTATATATGTTTCACAGCGATAAGCCTGCTCATTTAATACGCCAGCAAAGGAAAATTAGGATCAGTGGGCAAATTAATGTAAGCATAAGCATAAATTTATTGCCAAGTATTTCAAGAACACAAGGAATTTGACTCCAGCTCAATGGCCCCCAATGTGGACACTATAAAAACAAAATAAATACACAATACATACAAGCTAAAAAAATCACAAGTTAGAAGAGCAACATAAACTAGCTGTTCATCACTGTAATAGCCCGGGGAAAGAAACTATCTTTATGTATTTAACAAAACTGTGAAAGTAGATAAAGTGAGACTATAAAGGATTTTTTTTAATGTACAAATATGTTGATATTCAGACAACCTGGTCTCTATATACATGTAGAAAAGTGTTTGAGAAACATCTGGTTAGGAGATTGATGAAACCATACAAGATTTACCAACCTTTTACAACATTTATTCATTTGCAAAGGAAGAGTTCGATGTTTTCTAGTTAATGAGCCACCCACGAACAGCCTGAACAGTCAGGGGCCAGGAATGAATGACATCTAAACGCAGGACACCCATCTATTCCTGCATTACATGCAACCCAACATCCATGAGAGGCTTCCCCTGCCATGGCACAATGCAGGTAAACAGCCCATGGCATTCTTTCCCTGTGCTCTCTGTTAGTCCATAAACAGGGTCGCTTTGATTTCCAAGGGAGGTAAAAACTGAAAAAAACCTTATCAATAATGTAAAACTGCAATTAATGACTTCCCCCACTTCTGTTAGATCTCCCATCCCGAACCCCTGCACTGCTGCAATCCCTTCACCTCACTCCAAATATGGAAATGGGAAGTCATTACTAAAACATACAGTAGCAGGGTTAACCTTTTGTGAAATGCACTATTTGGACTTTTGCCTGGTGTTTTGTTGTTAGTGTCATACCTCCTTCTACCAGGCCTTGACCTCCATACAGGATGTTGATATCTGCTATAGTTCCCCTTGTCTGCTTCACAGCTATGATTTCAAGTTTGGCTTTGTTTTAATATTCATGCTTATTTGCGGTCCTAATGTGTGCAAAGACATCGACACAAGTGTAATTGTTTGTGTAATTGCAAGAAACTTAATAGATTCAGTATGAGAACTAAATCTGAGTCATTTTCAGATGCTGCTGATGAAGGGAGCAACCTTTTAGCATGATACACATTGAGCTGCTTGAAGGTTAGAAAAAACTGTCAGTACACAGGTGTGCACACAAGTTACTAGACAGACATTCCAACTCACCGCCTGTCAGAACCCATAACAGAGAAAGCAGCTATGAAAACAATTTGAAGTGACCCTCTGAATTGTGTGTTACTCATACTGGTATGAAGCTGTGTCTGTCCAATCAATAAATGTCTAGACTTTCATCATGGCAGCTCGGCCTGCTTGTGTGTTTCATGGCTGTATACTGATAATGTCTGCATTTGCTGCTTAACATGTGGTCTTAGCTAAAAACTTGCAATTCATTGATTTTGTATGTAATACAAACACCAAATAATAAGTGGTGCTATTCAGCTAGCTAACCAAAACCTGCTCAGATACAAGTGGGCAAGTGTTCAGTTACAAACACACAGCCGTGTAGCCTGTCTAATCAAATACATCACCATCCTCTGTGACTTGCAGAGGCAGCAGCTATCTATGTATATACTGTAATTACTTCCTAAAACATTAGTATATTGACAGTGACCATGTGGACTGATCAGCTGAAAGGCACTTAGAGGAACATGTGCACTTGATTGCAATGAGGTGGATAAAGGAGAGTTCTGTAGCTTATCCAACACACAATTTCAGGTTTTAACTCAAACCCTATGATATAACAAAAATATTCTTATTTATTTGTTCCTTTGTTAGTCAAAGCCAATTGGAGCCTAGTTATTTGTTCCTTTGTTAGTCAAAGCCAGTTGGAGCCCAGTTTTTTTTTAAGAAAATCCCCAAATATATTCAGAGATGGGCATGAACCTACGAATTTATATCATCGTTACGTTGGCTAGACGTTTTTAGATGGTGCTTGCCTGCTTGTTTGGTGGCGATGTGGTGGGGTGGGTACGGTGGGTACGCTGGGTCAGACGCTCTTAGCAACAATATTGTCATCAATGAGTGAGCTACGTTGCCTTCAGCACAGCGTAATATAAAATCTGATAGCCCACCTACGCTCCAGTTGCTGATTGGCGTTACGCAGGTATCCAGCTATTATTTATTACCCCATTTATCCTCACCGGATCTCACTGAAGAATCTATCCATCCTCACTCCACTCTGCACCAGGGCGCACGCAGCTGACTCTTTTACAAAATTATCCACTAGACAGAAAACAGGTAAATATTAAAAATGCACGTTTACATGCTTAAAGTAGTAGTGCGTTAACATATTTATTCTATGTTCAACAGTTGCCCCCTTCTTTTATGAAGAAGTGGATTTCAGGTTTACTGTAAAATGTTTGGGAACGGAGCACAAGAGAAGTGCATGAAATTATTGCAGTCACATCTTTGTTTCTTTTCTGGATATGTGCATGATAATTAAAAGACTAATTTAGTGATGATCATGAAAATATTTTTTTATGATTTATATCTTTGTAAACCTTAAACTGCGTGCTTTTACGCAGTGGGTTACGCTCAACAGGTTCAGTTGGTTCCTTGATAATAAAAAAAACACGATGTAGGCTAATGGCCCATCAAGAAACAACTTTATTAAACAGGATAACCGCAAATATTCTTGTACAGGTGGTGCTGAGAAAATGAGAAGAAGTTTGCTGCTGGTGACTTTGTTCCTTATCATGAAACCTCGGTACAGCCACTCCAGATGTGAGGAGCCTGGATCGCGCACATCAACTTCAGACGTAGGTTTCCTGGCGCGTAATGGCCAAGACGATTTTAAAAAACATCTTTTAACAGAAACTAATTTTTTTTCTTATGTTTGAAGCAAACCACAGGCTTGGACATCCTCAAGCGGAACATTATGAAGAGGTATAACGATTTGGATTATGATAGCTTTGTTGGTCTGATGGGAAGAAGAAACGCCGGTGAGTCTTCTTTTTGACTGACAATGAAGTCCGCTGATTACATTCACGTTTTTATAGCATAAAAATACTTTTAATGATATTAAACTGAAAAAAACGGCAAAAGACTTTATGTTGTTAAAGCAGGTCCTTTAATTAATTTAGTTGTTATCGTTTGTTATATATTATAAATAGGATTTTTACCTTGAATGCTCCTGGAACTAACTTATTTCTTTCTTTCTTTCTAATCAGATGCAAACGCTGTACAGTCACCACAAAAAAGTAAGACTTTTGTCATTTATTGATATGATTAAGTGTTTGTTTTCTTTAAAAGTACTGGAAAATAACTAATATTTCTTATTAGGGGAAATGCAAGACATTTTTGTTGGTCTTATGGGAAGGAAGAATTCAGAGTCTGGTGGGTGTAGTGATTAATGAGTGAAATAACCGCAATAGTGCTTTTTTTGTGGGTATTTAGAGTTCACATTTTTCTGATGGTCATCACAAGGACAGTATATCTTTATGGGGCTATGTTGTAATGTCTGCTCTCACAGAGAATGGTCCCTGGAGAGAGTACCCAGAGAAGAGAGGCATTTTTCTTAACAAGTGCAGGCTGAGGTGAGTGGTTCTTTTTTTCCACTCAGTCGATGGAACATGACGAAGTTTCCACTGCTTGAAAATAATAAAATATTAGAGTAATAATAAAAGATAAAAACATTAGACATAAAAGCATCTGAAGATGTCTGGTGTTCATTTAATATTCAAGTGTGTTCAGGTTCAGTGTTCAAGGTTTAATGTTTTAATGTCTTTATGTCTTAAAAGCAGTTTTTATATATACAGTATCTCCATCAATCAATCTGTGTGTGTATTACAGAAAGTAAGCCTCCATTTGGTCTTATTTTTACTGTGTATTATATCACCAACTTTACACATCTAAAATGTATGAGTGTCAGAATAATACTGATCATGCTGTACATGTATGCTCTGTGTGTTTTGTTGCAGGTTTCTTCAGGGACTGTAGACATTCTTACTGCAGCAACGCTCATCCAGCTACAGTGACTAAAGATCACAAAGAACACAAACAATGATGGAAATGACAGAACAGCTGTGATTCATTCTGTAAATCTGCTAACTGACTTAGGAAAGTGTTCATTAACTACACAGATTATCTGAAGACAAACCATAATTAGAAAATGATTTCTTTATCATGTTATTTTTTTTTGTTAAAAGTTCAAAATAAACCATTTTTAGATACATAATTTATGTAAAACATTAGTACATTTTCCTACAGCTGTGTGAGTGATTCTTTGAGCTCAGCTCATATTTAGTTACACCTGCTACAATGTTTACATTAGTTATTCTATTTTAAACAGTTGTAGGCTATTGGGTTATATAAAATGACTTGACAAGAGGGAGTCATTGGAATTTTGTGTGATACTGTGTGCATCAGTGTTCTCAAACAAAAGCACAGGAGGTTTCAAGAACACAAGTCTGCATCCGTGCATCTCATATCAATCAAAGATAAAGTGAAAATGTGTTTTTCACAGCACACTTGTTCTTATTGACAGAAACATATCACTGTAGGCTAGGTTTTAGGTTTATCATTTGATATGTCTGCTACTGGATTAACTGGCTCAGATCAGGTTGTAAAATACATTAAATCAGTGTTCACTACGCCTCCTCCTGCATCATCTGTGACTGTTCCCAGCCAGCTGCGGGCGAGAGGCAGGGTACACCCTGGACAGGTTGCCAGCCCATCACAGGACCAACACACAGACGAACAACCACGCACACAAGCACTCCTATGGGCCGGAGCAGTCGGAGAGAACCCACGCAAGCACAGGGAGAACATGCAGAACCCAGAACCTGCTTGCTGTGAGGCAACAGCACTAACCACTGCGCCACTGTACTGCCCCTGTGACTGTGTAATGTCATAAACTTAAACACTGATGATGGCAAACTTAATCAAGCTAAACCAAGTGTTTATCTTGGTTAAAAATAACCATTCACAGCTGCCACTAAATTAAATTCACATTGTAACCACTACGTTGAGTGCTTACAGCTGGCTGTGTCTGAAACTGTCAGAAGAGAACGCTGGTTAGCCAACACGACACACAGGGTAATAACACTTCTCAGGAACAGTTGTGCCAGCTTATCACATTGAACCCCATATAAAACACAGAATCAGTGGTGTCTGTCATGTGTGACTACAGTCCCGTTCTCAGTGACGACTGAGTTGAGATGGTCTCGCTCCCCTGTGTGTGACTTCATCTCCGTTTTGCTTTGGTTCCCACTGAAAGCAAAGGCAGTAGATGTGAGACTCCTTCCATCTGTTACCTCTTGAGCTTCTTTAATTCCCACCATCACAGTGGTCTGTGAGAGAGGGCCAAAGCTCAGTCCCTGATGCAGGGGGGGCTGGTAGCGTGGCGTGTAGCCATATGCCCTCAGGTGGTAGGTGTAGTACTCTAATGTGTACATCAGCTCTGCTTCCACGTAATGGAATGATACCGCCAGGTCAGAGCAGCACTGTGGACCCTGTGGAGGACACAACACACAGACCAGTCACGCAAGCGCATGCAGTGCGTGCATATTCACACACACACGTAAAGTTAAATTGTAGAAAGTGATTATTTTTTTAAAAACATTTTAGTATAAAGAATTTGGAGACATCATCCACCACACTGCAACCAGGTTTAATGGGTTTCTCAAAAGCATCTGCATGGTTCATAAATACAAAAATTAATTTAAAAAATGGCCGTGCACAAGTGAACACAAGTTTTAGCAAATGGTACTTAGCAGGAATTCTTAATGTATTATCTATTATCTGTTGTGGATTAATATGCAATTTAGTTCTCAAGTGAATATTTGCAGCAGCAGAACAGTGTGTGAGGAATTAACTGAGGATAACACTGACTCACTTGTCAACAGCAGTGGAGGAGAATAGCAGTATGTCAGTGTCAGGCACAAAATACTTGTTGGTGTTGGGTGTTTTTGTTTTTGTTCACAATAAGAAGACTACAGAATATCACCTGCCTTATCCTTTTATAAAGTGTCATATGCTGACAGTTCTAGAACCACAAACATCTATTTGTTTACTCTGATATAAACATAATTACTATATAGTAAAAGAAAATGTGCTTCTCGTTTAAAGACAGGTGACAAAGCAGTTCCTTTAACTGGCAGGCAGTGTGTGACAGGATCAGAAATGAATGTGTTTCATTTAATTGCAAAGTACAATGAATTAGTTGCATCATCAGCAACACATGTTCCTCTTGTTGACAGAACACTGGCTCTGCTGCAATCATCCACTTTAAAATGAACTCATTTCTATTTCAGGTCACTTGTTCTGTGCAGGCCCAGAATTGAAATGTTGCCTGGATAATCACATATTCAGTTATTTATTTAGTTATTCTTCCTCTTATGAGTCTTTTATAGCAACACCAACATTTTGATTAATGCCTCAAAAGCAAACAGTACATTGGAGACAACTCACTTTCAGTTAGAAAATATGTCCATACTGTACATTTCAAACTAAGAAAGAATAATTATCTTATAGTGTAGTGGTTAGCAATAAACAAGGGTCCAGAGGTAATATGTAATAGAGCAGTATGTAGTTCATATTTAGATATTATTTGTGTTAGTTGTGTAAGGATGTAAGGCTGAGCTCAGTGTGTACGGAAGCTTGATCTGTTTCTGGCGCAGACAAGAATATCTTGGGCTGTGTCCCTTGTTTAACCTATGGGTCAACATCCCGAGTGACTTCCTCCTCAGATAGGGAATGGATATACTGTAGGTCTAGAATTAATTTAGTCGGCATCACACTCTAGCCATGACAAAAGTGCAGATGTGCACAGGTAAGATTGAGCACAGGTAAGACGATGATTATGTATGTTTTTTTTTTTTAATTTAACAGCTCTTAGTAACATTTCACAGTCCTGCAAAATGTGAATATCTCACACATAAAACAAAAATGAAGAGACTTGCCTCAACAATTGGGTAGTAACAATAGCTCCAGTACCAGAAGCTCTTGGAGAACTTGCCAGTTAGATGGTGCTCTGGCACAAATGGGTGGAAAGTTTCTCGATGCAAAGTATCTCTGGAGTCCCCTGCCATGACGCCCATCTTCTCCAAGCACTGTCCCAGGGCTAGGTCCTCTACAGGGGTCGTGTGTGTGCAAACTTTTGTCCGAAAACCTTCCACAAATCTCTTGAGTGCCTCTTTACTAAGCACATAGCCTGCCCCTCCACTCATGTAGCCTTGCTTGGTGTAAGGCTTGAAGCGTTTACCAAAATAGATGGGTTCTTTTGGGGTGTGGTTGGACAGAATCCAGCGCAGGTTGTCCACCACAACATAGGTGTCATCATCTGCCTTTAAGAACCAGTCTGCTTCATTGACATAGTGTTCGTAGACATAATGGAAGGCTCGGATGGTCTTCCAGTAGAGCTGGTCACGGCCCTCCTTAGTGCCCAAGCCCACAGTGGGAAAGTCTGGGTCCTCCACTGAGCTCATGAACACCACCACATTACAGTGCCGACTCCAGGTGGCCCTGACATGATGGGCCCTGCTCTGTAGGTTGTATGGTCCTGTCATCACCCAGCAGAGAACACGCACCTTCTGGTACAGCACATCTGCCACCCAGCTGTCCTCATCTACAGGGACACAGCAGACAGTACAATGCTAACTGCTTTGCAGTGGAGCTATCGTGTGTGCGGTTCAACACCACACCGCACTATCCAAACATTTCTCCATGTCCAGTCGGTTTAATCCACATACTTTTGTTATTTCCCCTTTCACTGTATTTTACTAAGAAAGTCACTTTTGGCTTTTCCCATTTAGGGGTTGCCACAGCGAATCGTCACACTGACGACTCGCATGTTGATATTTGGCACGTGTTTTACGCTGGATGCCCTTCCTGACGCAACTCTGATTTGAACCTGGGCCGCAACGGCAAGAGCGCTGCACCTTAACCACTGGCCTACCAGCCACAGCCTTTCACTATATTTTACTAACTTTCTATAATTACTGTCAGACCTTTCATACAACCAGTGCAAATGACTGATCCTAAGCCCCAGCCCTTTCCTTCAATATGTGAGTAAATGACAGGTGAATAAGCTTAGACAATTTCCCTGGAGTAGTACAACTCTGCAGGATACATGGCTGTACTATAATGACATTTATTAATGTTCTTTAAAAACTAAAATGTGAAAACACTGTGGCACTGTTTCATCACATGGGTTGAAAGATACAGTTTTCATCTAACCATATTTTTTTTTTAGCTACAAAGCATATTTTTTACTATAGTATGCTTCAGGGTAGCTAGTTAAACTGGTCGTCCAGACACAATGACCACATGATTTTTTTTATATTTCCTTTATTTTATTTTATTTTATTTTTTACCCATGGTTATATCCAAAACAATAAAGGCATCCATACATACCCTAACCAATCATCATATTAGTGTTTTTTTGTGTGCCACAATGCCTCCACACCACACCACCACCATCACAGCATACAGGGCCTTGACTTGCTCATTATCAAGGGTCATCATTTTTGTTTCCATCTCACATTTGCCTGGACAATCACTAACTATCAGAGAGTGATGGGGTTTTCAGCAAACCAACCTGTATTACATAACTAATATAAGATAGCTCTTATTGACCTGGAGCAAATGGTTTGCTGAATTAAATATAGAGAGAATATGTATGAGGATAAACTGCTTTATTTTAAGGGGAATTAGCTTAAATTCAGCTCAGCTTCCTTATCAAACCACGAGTTCAACTATCAAACCATTTTTGACAACAACAAAAAACTCCATGTTACAACATAAATATTAATGCAAATGTGTGCCGTGATTATCACAGCACCATATATATTTTCCTATAAATACAATAATGTGTAAAGCACCTGCATGGTGAGGGTGGAGCAGGTTGATAAGAGCGGCTCCCTCCTTTCTCCAGCTGGTTGGTCTCTCCACAGCCGCTGTGGCTTTTTCCTGAGCCTCTGACAGCACAGGGTAGCTCCTTTCAAACCACACCTGGTGCAGGAAGACGTAGACACTGCAGGCCCCCACTAAGAAGCCCATGGAGAAGGCCCATTTGGAGCTGGGACCCTTCATGGCAACACCGTTTCCCGCACTGCGATATATCGTTTACAGCATGTCTACAACACATTGGGATCAATTTGATGTGCAGTCAGAGTATTGTTAAAAAAAAACTCCAAGTATCTTCAGTATTGTTTGCAAATCAATCAAAAGGCAATAAATCATACTGGATGCACTTTTTAAACATTGCCCCCTGCAGAGTAATCTTGTCATATCACATTTGCATGAAAATGTTGCCATAAAACAAACATTCACTGTATTGTCCCAATGAATTTAGAGAGGAAAATTAACGTTTCACAAAGTTGGAAATCAAAATCAACCAGTTATTGGAGTCAGCCCACTGACAATGAACCAGTAAGTGAATCTGTGAACCAAATCATTTTAACTTACATGATTTACTGTGAATCAGAAGCTCCAGTAAAATGGTGTCATTAATCACTGCCTCCTGGATTTGTCTAGATGGCATCACGCATGCCTCCTGCTTTTGTTTAGCTTAAGGACAGACTGGTTTAAATATTTAACATTTAAACAAAGCTGTAATGTAACACCTGAGTTCACTTTGTCATCTTAACATGGGAACTTTACTGAAGTCCTTTGTGGACATGGACTTTACACTTGACACAGTGTCACTACGTCACAGGCAAAAATGCGTTGGAGTCCATCTGTTGCCTCAGGGGGATGAGGATAAGGGCGACAAATCTAACCGATTTTAGTTTAATGTATTCTCAACGCACACTGGTGTCCTTCATTACCCTGACGACAAATAACATTAGGCGACAAATCCAGTTAGGCGACAAATCCCCCCTGACCGAGGTTTACATCTGTTTACACCAATAACAAATGGCATGCTTTTAACAGCGAAATGTGTACATGTGATCTGTTGCTACTTCTGCTTAAATGTTGTCTTCATATACAAGCCTGTGTGTATATTTCCAGTCAGCAAAAACAGATCCACGTCGGCATGTGTGTGTTATTTACCTTTACTGTGGGATCAGTCGTTTGTGAGCACGACATGCCTTCAACTCCTTAAGCAGCGAAATATGTCCCGCTATTTAGACGGCACAAGCCTGCTACACCTGACAGTCCTACCACCACCCGTCGGTCACAGTCATCTGGTGGGATGGTTTTGATTGAAGTCGTCTCTATTCTCTGAGTATCCGCATGATTAGTAGAAGGAAAACCCCTGTACACATTTACATTGTTCATTATCACGGCTAAGCTCTGAAAAATGCGGCCTTTCATTGGCTGGGAGAAGGTGACGTGTGGAGGAAGCCTCCTTTCACCTCCTGTGAAATGCATTAATAGCAATTAACTGACATGATTTATACTAGATTTGTTTATTATTACTGAAATATATCATTTAAAGATTCTGAGTCAGAATACAGATAGATGTTAAGCTGTTTCTCTATCAATATTGGCCACTAGGTGTCATCCTGTATACGCATGAAGCGAAGCGCGTCTCTGCAGCTGGTAGCACAAGCTCAATAATACATGAAGCACAAAGACAGGCGTGGGATGTGCACGAAGACCCATAAAGACAGGTTTAATATTTATAGAGATCATCTAAAACAACAGAATGGGCTGTAGAAAACGCAAAGCAGCACAACAGTAGACTCCAGATTCCATATATCACCTCAAAACTAACAATAAAATGTATATAAAAGACACCACTGGCTCAAAATACTGATCTGAGGTGGAAAGTAACTAAGTACACTTATTTCAGTAAGCTACTGTACATGGTATGATTTTAAGGTGCAGTATCTGTACTTTGCTTGAATATTTTCATTTCCTGCTACTTCATATGTCAACTTGTCTACCTTTTAGAGGCAAATATTGTAGCCTACCTTTTAGTCCACTATACGTATTTAAGTATGTAAAATAGTGATACATTGTGCTATACAGTAATTGAGTGTAAACACATAAAAAAAAATCAAAAACAAAAATGACATTTTTGCCTTTTCACTGAATAAATTATATGATAACAGATCCAAACAATTTCAGGTTAGACAACTAGATGAATTAGTCCCTTGCTTTAGTTTCAGTTCCCTGGTGTTGTTTACTATTTATAATTTCATTTATGTTTCCTCATAGTTCAACATTATCTCCCCATGCTCTTTCTTTGTGATAGTCAAAGTGACATTTTTTTCTCCAGCTACACACAATGACACATTTCTGGCATTTCCATTTCCCTCGCCTAAGGTCATGTGCTTTCTCATAGTGTCCTGTTGAAGATGTTGAAAGGATGAGTTGTTGTTGATCTGTCTATTAGATTTCAGCAGAAAAAAAGTCAATCAAAAAATAAAACTAGCTACAAAATATGGGATACTCCACAAGTACACAGCAAAATAAATGTTGTAACATGTTGTGTGTAACTGTAATTGTGAGGCAGCTTCAACCCACCCACCCTCATTATATTTGTGCTGAATTTAACATACAGCTTACTGTAGCTTTTGACAGTATATTACAAATTTACACTAAAAAAATAAACTGTGGTGGAAATTATTATTATTGTTTTCCACTCCTCCAATGCTTGTGAGAAAAATGGACTTACACCAATGATGTCTTATGTGATTTTATTATATATATTTAAAAAAAGAACAAGTGAGGAAAAGTATAAAGAGTCCAGAGGTCTAAACTCTCACATAGAGGGAACAGAGTCTGACAAAGAGCTAGGTCTTCCCACACTATTTACAGTAACCATAACATTCAATGCCATGTATGCAGTATCACTCATGGGAATGCAAAGATATCAGGGCAGGCTGGAGGAAGGGTGTGACAGTAGAATGCAGAAGCCTATACCCATTTAGTTTCAACAGATCATATGTAGATAATAAGCTGCTTTTCCCACATCTAAATTTCCCTGCAAAGCATAATCATTAGTAAAAACACAGAGACCTCATATATTTTACATGTATATAACAATGAATATAAGGCTAAATTTGATACCACACACAAACCGTTGGCCTGTGCCTTAATGTCCACATCTGAAAAGAGGAACTCATAGTTGAGATTTTCCCCCGCATAGAAATTCCTGGCAAGCTGTTACAACAGTCATGTACTGTAAGCGACTGATGGCCTAACTCTGTTAACAAGAAGTAGAGCATTACAAAATAAAGATAAATGTACTTTTCCACATCTGAGTCAAAGCCCTCAAGGCATGTGTCCTCAATATAAGAGACAGCTGACTCCAGGTCAGAGAATCACCAGCTTCCTGGTCACTCTCACTGAAAGCTGCTTGAAGCTATAGGAGTCTCAAAAGGGGTCATTTTTTTAAACTTGTGCACACAAGTTATCTTGTGATCATATGCACTGATGTTCAGAGCTTTAATTTACTTCACATTCAACATCCGTACCTAAACTTCCCTAAACAGCCGTTTTCTAAATTTAATTTGCTTTCCCTTTTGTGGCTTCATATACTCTTATAAAGACAAGCTTACAGTATGTCTTAACATTAGTATAACATTCTTGTGCAGACTTACATACTGAAGAAATAAAAACATTCAAGAATTGATATGAAATCCTTTCCAGTGTTCCCAGTGCTCTCCAGTGTTTTTAGACATTTATTAAAGCCATCTTTCCACTGCCTGAGTTCGGTTAACTCAGAGTTAAGCTTGTGTGTGATGACTATAAAAAGCCATCATGAATGGAGCTTTCATATTAAGATTCATCATGACAGTGGGTAAAGAGCAGAGCCACTGTTATATTAAATAAGCTATATTTATTCAGCTGTAAGCTGATGGGAACATGAGATGGGAATGTGACTCACCCTATCAGCTATTCTCATGCAACTGCACAACCTCAGCCACCCAGTTAATTCAAAACACAAACTTATTTTGCTGAGTGGTGGCTTGAGGACAACTTTTGTATGTACTGTATGTGAGAGAAAGATAAGGAAAGAGAGAAGACATATGAGATTAAGGGATATTTTGTGTTTTTTTTTTGTTTTGTTTTGTTTTGTTGTTTTTTTGCTGTTTGTTTTGCATCTCTTTGTGCTCATTTTGTATCCTTTTACTGACAATTTGTGTCCATTGCATTAAGCTCTAGTTCTGAAAATATATAATATTACTGTCAAAAAAACCTAGCCTCTGTTGGCATCATCCCTGTAGTTTACCCAATGACAGATTGTATACGAGGAGTTGGAGGGTCTGATTGACAGAAAATTAATTAAACTGTTTTATTAAGTAATGAATTCATTTTGTAAGCAAAAACTGCCAAGAAACTCTTTACTTTCAGCTTCTCATATATTAAAGTGCACATCATTAATGTTAGAGCATAATTTAGCATTCCCACATGGTATATTATACTGTAGTTTACTCATTCTTTGCAATGCATTCTGCTAATTAGCATTTCACTGTAATGACAATAAAATTGAAATTGTTACTAATATATGAATTACTTATATAATTTGTATCAGAAAAAGTACATTGTATATTATACAGTATAGTCTACATCATGCATGTATCTCTAGGTTTTTCATTTATATTATTTCATTTTATTTTATTCTTAAAATCATGTGTTTATTATTAGACTGGTGTCACATACTCCTCTTCTGTCTTCAGATGC